TTTTTTTTTTTTTTTGCTTTATGCAAATTTTTCGCAAATTTTTTTTTTTTTAAAAATTTTTGTAATTTTTTAAAAATTTTTAAAAGTTTATTTTTTTTTTTTTTTTTTTTTTTTTTTTTTTGTTTGACAGTTTTCACAAAATCATTGATAGATATCTGACCTGAGGAAAAACTATTAAACACTGCTGAGCAAAGATTATCACGTAAGGGGGCATGGGGATGGCGATTTTCTTTCTTTCTTTTTTTTTTTTTTTTTTTTTTTTTTTTTTTCTTTATAAAATGTTAGCCTTTTAAGCCCAATTTACACTGGGCGGCGTTCTCTCTGCGTCCCGTAGTACGACCCCGTTTGAGAGTAAAAAAAAATACTTTACGTGCCGACAACTGGCCGATCATTGAGCATTCATTTTGCAACGATCACAGCGATGCCAGTTTCATGGTCGCACAAAGGACGCAGAGAGGACGCCGTCCAGTGTAAAGGGGGGGTTACTTTACTGCAATCCAATAGCAGTTTCTTACTTTTCCTTCAATCAGCTTCTATGTGAGCAAATGTATTGTACCTGTGGGTCTCTAACCTGCTTGCATGTACATTGTACCTGTAGGTCTCTAAAAGCTGTTGTCTTATATTTTATTTTCAGATTTGGCAGACGACATGTGTTTTTGTTTGGTCAGTTCTTTGTAGCCGCCAAAGGGATAAGCATGGCGTTTGCACCGGACATGCTGTCTTTTACTGTTTTGTACGTTCTCCAAGGATCATGCGACGCCCTGGTCTACCTAACTATCTATACACTAGGTGAGCGCTGAAAATGACCAACATTAGAATGAACAATGAAAAATAAAAAATCATGTACAGTAGGCCTACAGCAGCGCTGACAAGGGATCTCTCCGCCTTGTTCGTCTTATTTAAATCTTTGTTATCGCTTCTTATCATAAATCATACCTCTAAGATAGCATCGTGTGACATTATATGCAGTTTGCTTACGTATACTGGTACATGCAGAATCTTTATGTACCGTTCCAGCCTGATTTTGTGTCAATCGGTGCATGTTTCAAGATGTGACGCTAGTCTCTTAATTGCACATGTGCAGTAAAATGTATAATATTAGGTTATCGTTACTTTTGAAGTCAACTAAGAAGGCGAAACTATGTTTGATTGTTCCCAGTTTAAATAGATGTTTTAATGCACAAAAATCTTAATTTTTCTCAACTTTTTAACTTGTATAATTACATGTACATTTGTTACCAGGAATGGAATTGGTAGGTACAAGTAAGCGACGTATGGCCGGCCTCATCATCGGAATGTTTTTTGGATTAGGACACACATTACTGGCACTGGAGGCGTACTTGGTACGCAACTGGCGCCATCTAGCGTTGGTGGCAAATTCACCTGCAGTTTTCTTCACTTTGTTTTGGTTGTAAGTTATTGGTGTTTAATTATTTATGTAAGAATAGGGATTTGTATAACAGCATTAAAAAAGGTATTATTGTGTACATTGGGTAAAATTGAAAAAGGTGTATTACTCTTTAATTTTTCTCTGTATCAGGTGACATGTTATACAAATTAGGTACAGGGGTACATGTACACCGTACAAGTACGACACGGCGTTTCAATAAAAAAGAATAGTCGATCCAGTCATTATGCGAACTGTAACACGCTAAAGATAAAAAAATGGAAATCGACCAGAAATATACTTAAAAAGAGGTTACAAAAAGAATTAAAGATATTAATTGTCTTAACAAAAATGCGTTATAATAAGATTTCATCGCAGGGTTCTTCCGGAGTCGGTGCGATGGCTGCTCGCTCAGGGTCGACATGAAGAAGCAAAGGCAATCATTACAAGAGTAGCTGCCGTCAACAAGGTCACACTGGATCCAGATGTACTCGATGACTTTTTATTGAAGGGAGACCAGGAGAAGAGGGTAACGCACACTCCCGTCGATTTACTGAAAACCTTGAACAGGGCTAAAGTGACTCTCAACCTCGCTTTCCTCTGGTAAGAAAATCTTACAGGATGCTTTCCGATCATATCTAACATTTCTTTATGCTAAGATAATAGTTTTTTAATTAAAATTGGATCTTAAGGATAATGACTACGTAGCCATGGTCAAGAGCGTGCGTTTTTTTTTTTTTTTTTTTTTTTTTTTTTTTTTAGACCAGCCCCCAAGCACACATTAAGATTGACTTTGACTTCACATGCTTTGTAAACATGTCTATTTTCAGGTTGGTGAACTCTTTGGTATATTTTGGCCTCTCCTATGGTACTCAAGATCTCGGAGGCAGCCTGTTCCTCAATTTTGCACTTATGGGCCTGGCAGATATCCCGGGACAATTCTTAGCGCTATTCATTTTAGATACAATAGGGCGTCGAAAGATATTGCTCATTTTCATGGTAATTGGTGGACTGGCGTGTATCATTGCTATGCTCATACCTAAAGGTAGGTCTTACAGTGTACAGGTGTGACAGGTAGTTCTAAGAATTGAAGCCCAACGCCCCATATGATTTGTACAGTTTAGGGTTAGTTGGAGTATCGCGATTAGTATATGGGACAAATGTCACCTGTACAAAGTAATGGGGAACAGACTACGGTTCCTAGTGGACTACCACTCCTGTCACAATATTACTGCGGTTTCTTCGTACATCTATTTCGGCTTCGGGAACTTACTTGCTTTTTATCTTAATGGTGTACTGAATTCTGGATAGTTAAAAGTATAGTCAAACTTCGTTGAGGCGTAGAGAGACCTTATGATATGTCTCATTTGTCTAAAATAGCCCAGAACTCGCCTACATGTATAATTTCAATTACAAAAAAGGAAATCATATTAGATTATCTATAATTACAATCAATTTTTAAAACTTCTTGACATCTTGCATTCCAGACCTGCAATGGCTGACTATAACACTGGCTTTACTGGGGAAGATGGCAATAAGCACCACCTTTGCTGTCATCTATATGGTAACTAGCGAGATCTATCCCACGGTAATAAGGTCAGTTGCATCACCTTCCGCAATATGAAATAGTGCCCTTTTAATTTGGTCACATTGCTTGTTGGTGTGAATACTTACATTAATGTGATATAACAGATATTGCAAGTTCTGGCCAAATTTCCAACATACTTACAAAATTGATTTTAAGAGACTACAGCTGAAACTGCGAAAAGCAGTAGTGCGGATGGATTTTTGGAAGTTGTTATTGTGTGCTTCAGGAACGTTATTGTTGCTAAGTCATGGAGTCAAATTTCGTAGATGCCAGGGTCATGCCATGAAGGTGAACTTTGATTCAAATATAGACCCCGACCCCGCATTATGGAACGACCCCGGATTATGGAACAAAACCGGAAGTTTTCTCTTTTTACCCAGCATGCAGAGCGTAAAAAATCCCCGTTGCCACGAAAGTTTCAAGCGTCTGCTACAATGTATCAAACGAGCTATGCAGACGCATGTTACGACCTGATACAATAGAAGTGTTAGCGTTTGAAAGTTCGTTGTTCTCAAATTTGATAAAATTAANGTACATCTATTTCGGCTTCGGGGACTTGCTTTTTATTTTAATGGTGTTCGGAATTCCGGATATAGGTAAAAGTATAGTGAAACTTCGTTGAGGTGTAGAGAGACCTTCTGATATGTCTCATTTGTCTAAAATAGCCCAGAACTCGCCTACATGTATAATTTCAATTACAAAAAAGGAAATCATATTTGATTATCTATAATTACAATCAACTTTAATTACTATTTAACATCTACATTCCAGACTTGCAATGGCTAACTATAACACTGGCTTTACTGGGGAAGATGGCAATAAGCACAACCTTTGCTGTCATCTATATGGTAACTAGCGAGATCTATCCCACGGTAATAAGGTCAGTTGCATCACCTTCCGCAATATGAAATAGTGCCCTTTTAATTTGGTCACATTGCTTGTTGGTGTGAATACTTACATTAATGTGATATAACAGATATTGCAAGTTCTCGCCAAATTTCCAACATACTTACAAAATTGATTTTAAGAGACTACAGCTGAAACTGCGAAAAGCAGTAGTGCGGATGGATTTTTGGAAGTTGTTATTGTGTGCTTCAGGAACGTTATTGTTGCTAAGTCATGGAGTCAAATTTCGTAGATGCCAGGGTCATGCCATGAAGGTGAACTTTGATTCAAATATAGA